GAATGGGACTTTAAGCTCCACAGCACCATTCTCTCTTGTGCCCTCAGATGTATAATAAAATCATCTTCCCAGGGACTCTTACTGGAGAATCTACCTGCCTACCTACCGTGCCCCATACTTGGCATTTGTGTAGCCTTTAAATGCTGTGTCCTGAACTACTCTGACTTTGAACAAACTGTAATTTCAGAAAAAAAAATCCTTGAGAATGAATAGCCATGTGGCATGGGCAAAGCCACAGGTGCATGTGGAGAGGAGTCTGACCTTTAAATCAGGACTCTGTGCACACTGCAGGCGGATAAATGCACAGGGACTGGGTTTGCCACCGGCCAAAGACCAGGGCTCCAGAGGTAGTTCATGCTGTTCCTTGTTTTCAGAGTACTAAATCTGGGTGAAGTCACGTGTTTCTTAATAACAGGGATAAATTCTGAGAAATCACCCTGATATAGTTTGGCTGTGTCCCCACCCAAATCTCACCTTAAATTGTAGTTCCCCACGTGTCATGGGAGGGACCTGGTAGGAGGTAATTTGACCCCCATGGTGGCTTCCCACATGCTGTTCTCATGATAGTGAGTTCTCACAAGATCTGACGGTTTTATACGCGGCTTCCCTCTTTTGCTCAGCACTTCTCCTTCCTACCATCATGTGAAGAAGGATGTGTTTGCTTCCCCTTCCACCATTACTGTAAGTTTCCTGAGGCCTCCCCAGCTGTGCAGAACTATGAGTCAATTAAACCCCTTTCCTTATAAACATCCCGGTCTTGGGTATGTCTTTATTAGCAGTGTAAGAACAAACTAATACACACCTTTAGGCAAGTTCATCATTGTGTGAACATCATAGAGTATACTTACACACATTTACGTGATATATACAACTTCATTGATATACCTATCTTTCCATATGGAAAACAGAATGTCCCGGCATCACTACTGAACATCAGTCATTTCCCCTACTTGATCTCAATGCCAATATCAAGTGCCATCCAACAGGTTTCTATATCTGCTCCATTATAACGTTATGGGACCACTGTTGGACATGCGGTCTGGCATTGAGTGAAACATCCTTGTGACTGTGTACAGGAATGTCTTCGTAACATCAGTAGGAAGAACTCTCAGGCCTAAAGAACATGGCAAAATTCTGCCTTTGTCGTCTGCAGAAGTAATTGAAATCTGTTTACCTGGATTATATTACATTATGAAAGGAAGAACAAGCTTATTCAACAACTGGGTAAGCATGGGTCTAGACACGGCACTCATAGTGCTGGTTTGCAGTGTGGCTGCTGTCTTGTTTCATTTAAGAGGATTGTTGAAGCTAATTGCCAGATGATGCAGAACATCATCTCAAAGGCACTTTTAGTCTCTGTGGTCTTTTTTCCTAGATAATATGACAAAGAAGGTAAATCTCTTTCTGAAAATAACTCTGAAATATCAGCATCTTTTGCTAAGTCAAACCCTTCATTGATGTAGGAAGCATTTCAATCTTTGGCTCTAAGCATTAGACTCTTAACCTGCATCTAATTCTTAAACTGGCAAAACTGAAAATTGAGAGTATAAAATCAACACCAAAAAATCACTGAAAACTGCATACATGCTATTGTACACATCCCACTTGCTAAAAAGAAAAATGAGAAAGAATCAGGAAGAAATCTTATTGAGAATAATTTTAGAAGACTTTGGGGAAAAAACTGAAATATTTGGATAAATTTCTTCCTTATTCAATGGAATAAGGCATTCTAAGAAAAGAATATTAGATAAGTAGAAAAAGACTCTGCTCTTAAAATTCATAGAAATCACTCTTCTTCCTTACATGCTGTGAAAAAAATGCCAACATAAACTCGAGTTTGTAAACGTAAAAAGTTATCAAGTATGAAAATATGTTTGCATTCATTTTGATGACGGATGTCCCCATCTTTGGATGAATGATCAAACAGTAGCTCACCTTTGCAGTTTCCTCGATACGCAATCTCTAGCTGGGGGTCTTTGCACTTGGCACGTTGAAATTCACAACGGGAAAGGAAGGTCCTTCCGTCAGATGCGCAGAGAGGTTTCTGAGGCGAACCCGCACAGTCCAAGCTACAATCCTTGTCTTTATCTTGATCGACTCTCAAAAACTTAAAGGAGAAAAAAGAAGCCAGACAAATTTAAAGACACATTCTTCAGAGCAGCAGAAAACAGAAGGCTGCCCCAGGCCACTTCACGGTCAGGGAATAAAAGCTTGAGGGATAACGCACCCCCGGTTCTCACCCCTGCCAGAAGCATCACGGGCACGTCTGAACATTTTAGCCACTGTCTGTTTCAAAAGCCTAGCTAATTTGGACGTTCTCTATATCAACATCGGCCGTCTGGCATAGAACAACATGTGAATCGTTGGTCTTTGAAGGGGATGCACATGTGCCTGATTCACCCCTAAAAGTCTGAGTAGCAATGTTTTCCTTTTAATTTGTGAATTCACTGACGAACTTGCCTCCACATTCACCACATTATTACCATTCTTCTGGAAGTGACAAGTATCAGGAATGTCCACTGTCTGGAACTGGGAGGGGATCCTTCCTGATTTAAATGGTGCCACACAGTTTCGTCTACATTCTCCAAATGCAGATGAACTCTACATTCAACTGGACTAGGTTGCATTCACTTGGACTATTGTTCTTTGAATAAATGTTTGTTGAATGAATGAGTGACCTCATGGCCGAGAGGAAGCTTGCGTATTTCTCTGAAAATGCCTAAGGCACAGGAACACTCTCTGCAGGCCATAGACATCGCCTAATGGCCATGTGTGCCCTGCAGTTCCCACGGCAGCCCCAGGCCCCTGATCTCCCTCCTGCTCTTTTACAGCCTGACACACGCTTCAGAGCTCGCCGGACCCCAGGGAAGCCTCTGATCTGGGCGTGCTGGCCCCGCGTGTTTTCCTTGGACAAGTCATCAGTGTCCTGCCACTTCCTGACCGGCCACTAGTCCTGTCCGGGCCTCCATCAGCCAGATGAAACACCAGACACCAAGGGGAAGCTCAAAGTGACCCTGAGGAAGCATCTGTGTTCCAGGACAAACGGGATTGTCAGAGGCCTTTGGTCCCCAGACTATCACCTGCCCCAGGGGGTGTTTTCCCTGATTCAGAGCAGAGACAATACATTAACTAGAAGAAAGAAAGAAACGTGCAGAGCTGTGGCTGGCAGAACATAGGCTACGGTAGTACATGGCCCACTGGGTGTGGTGTGCACGTGAGCGGGGCTATGTGGCATTATTCTTCCAGCGATATTGGTGGAGATTAAGAGAGTGCTGCTCCAATCCCTCTTCCAGTTTGAGCAGCAGGAAGATAGGGTTGAGGTTCAGCAGAAGCTGGGGGGCCCTCATCAGCATGCTCCTTTACCAGTGAGAGAGGAAAAAGAAATTCACCAACTCAGGATGCTGCATTCCTTGAGAAGCTACGAAACTTTCTGACTTGAAGTCTGCATCTCAACTGTCTCTGTTTAAAGGTTAGCTTTGCCCAGCTAATCAGCATTGTAACCCTCGGTGCTGTGGATTACCAGGCGGGCTGTGTCAGTGGAGCTAACTCGGCAAGGCTGGCCGTGGAAATTACACTCACTTGTATATTATTGTCACATAGAGCTGTCAGCACCACTGTGGGTTAAGTCTCAGTTCTTTTAAAACTGTGCTGTGCTATCTTGAAGATAAATCTTGACCCAAACTTTGCAGGAACTACGGTGACCTTGATGGGCAGTGGAAGGAATCATAACCTGTGATTTCCTGAATGAAAATTTATCAACTTTAAATAATTTGCCCAATGTTACACATACAATTTTTTTAAACCTTCACAGTGATTAAAAAAAAACCCTAAAAATAGAGATTAGCCAAAAGCCGAAGCTGGACTCAAAGCCAGGGAGGGCACACAAGACGCTGTAGGGGTGGGATGGCCTGTGGGGAGCCCCAGACCTCACCAGAAATCCAGGCAGGGTCCTCAGAGCTCCCGACCTGAGGACTGTGACAGCGGCAGGTGTGGCTAAGAACAGGTGAGCCTGTGTGTTTTGGAGCTCACAAAGCTACTTGGCAGTGGCCTTGCCCAGATTTGGGGATGAAGGCTGGAGCCAAGGGACAGGTGAGCAGCACCCGGAGGTGGCGGGGCCTTTGCCATCTCAGAGCGAGCTATTTTTCACATTTGTTCCGTTTCAAACAGCGTGCTCTAATTTTCCTGAGAATAAGCTCACCTGCTGAAACGATTCAGGTTTGTTTTAGCTAAGAGGCAAGTGAAAACAGATCATTGCCTTTCAGGGTTTTGCAAAAATGTGTGCTTTACTTAAAGAGGGCAGAGCCGGCACACAAATACATTCAGTTGAATTCTGCCACGGATGAGTCTCAGCCACGTTTTTCACTTCACCAACACGCACTGCCCAAGCTCTTCCAGCGGTGGGTGGCGCCCCGGGGCAGGCGGCTCCTGGGAGACACGGCCTTCGGGTGCTGTGCCTTGGGAAGTTCCTCCACCCGCTGAGATGCTGCCTGGATCTTATAAAATACTTCGGAGTCACCCCTCGCCCCCCAGCACTTCAGGATCTCGGCAGCCTCGTTCTCGCAGCACACAGCTGGCTGGAGCAGCGCAGCTTTGTACCCAAGAAAGAGGGGAAAAAACAGAAAGAAAACGTGAACCTGCCGTGTGTTCGGAGGAGCCCCAGGTGCCTTCGTTTCACACAGGGGCCCGCCCTATTCATAGCTGTCTTCTACTGTAGAGGAAAAGATGGAATAACCTAAATCCTGTTCATTTTTATGTTTAAGGGGTGGTCTCTATGTATTTCCGGAACCCCTAAGTGAGGAGATGCTGAGGACTTAGGAAGACGCTGTAATTATCATTTTCTCTAAAGGAAAAGAGACAGCCTCGACATTTTTTCTCAAATAAAAGCGCCCAGCATCCAGGCATTTGGAATTTGACCATAATTTACTGGTGCAGAACTAAAAATGGAAGTATGACTTCTCAGGAATAAGAGAACACACAGGATATGCGTATGTTTCTCCCCTACTTCCTGTTTAATAGCAATTAAATTTCACGGGAGACAGTGCATGTAAGAAAGTAAGCTTTTAACTAAGTTGTGTTCATTAATAAACAGCCCATTCAAGAAAAATAAATATTCCTATTCCAAAGAATTCACTATGTGTTAAAAGAACTCGGTTGAGAGTCTTAAAACTAATTCAAGATAAAAAGTACTTTGCTAAATTTAGAATGCAATCAATTGGACATCGAGTGACTTTATTTTAAAAAGAAAACTCAGAATTGCAGGGGTTTTTTATTTCTTTTGATTTCCACGAAGCAGTGCTATTTGCACAGGTGCAAGGAGCCCAGGTGTAAGGGTGGGGGGAGGGAAGGGCACACGAAGTGTCTTTGTGGATACCAAGTAGCTCACACATTAGAAAACCAGTCAGACAGATTCAATGGGTTAAAGTCATGGTCTATGCTTCTTCTTAATAAATTACTGGGTTTGGGCCAGAAGAAAAAGATTAAAACAAAAACCATTTACAAAACAGGTAAAAGCACTTTTCAAATCTTAACATGTTTAAAATTTCTCCTTATAATATTGATTAAATACTTCTCTGACTATATGAGATAATGCATGGCATGAGAAGACATTAAGGAAGTTTTGCCTCTGAAATACATAATTCTGTAGCTGTAAGATTTGCAAGGCCAGGCGCAGTGGCTCACACCTATAATCCCAGAGCTTTGGGAGGCCAAGGCAGGAGGATCTGCTGAGGCCAGGGATTTGAGACCAGCCTGGGCCACACAGTAAGACTCTGTCTGTATCAGGCGTGGGGGGAAATTAGCCAGGTGTGGTGGTGTAATAAAATAAAGTGCACAATAAATGTGCACCTGTGGACCCAGCTACTTAGGAGTCTGAGGTGGGAGGATCACCTGAGCCCAGGGAATTGGAGGTTGCAGTGAGCTATGACTGTGCACCAGTGCACTCCAGCCTGGGCAAGTGAGACCTTGTCTCAAAAAAAAAAAAAAAAAAAAAAAAAAAAAAAAAAAATCTCAAAAGCACACACTTTCTAAATAACAGGCCAAGAGAAAATAAATAGTGTCCACGTGTTTGCTTTCTCTTAATGGGAGGTGCACACAGGAAGAAATGAGATTGAACAGAAGACAGGACAGCGCTGGCAACAAAGCCCAGTGCCTGGAGAGCCTGCACAACTCTGAAAGTCACTGGGGACAGGTGGGAGAGTGGTTACAGACTCAAGCCTGTTTTAAAGAATCATTTCTCCATTTTAAAGCCTGGACTTTCTCAGGTGCAGAAAACAGGGTCCTACTCTTTTAGAACAGAGAACCTAAATCTTCCATGCAAATATGGAAATCCCGTTTCAGCGCCCGCAATGCGAAGCTTAAATATAAAAGGAAAATACAACTCTCCATGGGACATTTTCTCCCAGAGATGGACGTTCCATATCCGAGAGCCGGACATTCCATTCACTCATTCATCCAGCATCCGAGAGATCCAGCATCCGAGAGCCGGACATTCCATTCACTCATTCATCCAGCATCCGAGAGCCGGACATTCCATTCACTCATTCAGCCAGTATCTGAGAGACGGACATTTCATTCACTCATTCAGCCAGTATCTAAGCGACAGACATTTCATTCACTCATTCATCTGGCATCTGAGAGATCTGGCATCTGAGAGACGGACATTTCGTTCACTCATTCATTTGGCATCTGAGAGATGGACATTCCATTCACTCATTCATCTGGCATCTGTGGAAGTTAGTTGCACCACTTTATATGTATTTTAGAAACTCTTAACTTCATTATTTCATTGTCTTCGCCTTCTTGCTCCCAGTCTTTCAGAATAAAGCCTCATGTTTCCAGTTAGCTCAAAAGTCAGACCCAGCTTGAACGGAGCATATTAAATAGTTATTAAGTGACCCCTCTCTGTAAAAGGCATTCTACCAGAGGATGCGATTTCGAAGAAGAGCCTGCCCTCATGAAGCTGAAAATCCAGAGGGCAGAAATGTACATCCACAAATGATGACCATGCTGTATAAAGAAGAACACAGGTGCCTGAGCGGCTCAGAGGGAAGATCGGTCAAAGCCGATTTGGGGGGATATCTGCTGCTTCCTAAAAGATGATCTAAGGCA